CTTATCTGCATCGTCCTACAAAATAGCCCCAGTTTTTTATTCGTTGCCACTTGGGAAAATTAATTAGCACCTCTGACAAATCAAGCTAACTTCAAAATACTGAAATGAAATAAGCTAGTCGATGATACTTGTCTTGTCCGTGCAGTGTTCTTCTACCAAACATTTCTCTTCCAGAAGTCTTCAACGTTGAACTCAAGGGCAAGGAAACAAATAAAGCACACGCAACGTTACGATATTAGAAATAAATCAGTATTGTTGTTTATGCTATGACGCCGTCTCTCCCTCGGTTACAATATTAGATTTAACGTCCCTCATTTGCATTTTGTCAAACGTCCTGCAGCACCCCGAGAGAGCGCCTGCTACTGTCTGTGTAGTTATTGGTCTTTCAGGCTGCAATCACACAGGCCTAGAGAGCAGTCACTGATCATCTGGCAAACACTGGTCATGAGGATAAAATGTGTGTTTCCCAAGCGGATGGAGAGAGGATGCTGGAGGTAATGGCAATTGTTGTGAAAACAACCACTAAAGCTCCAGTCATGCAGGCCTAGAGACTGGTGAATGACTCCCTACTAGCCACTGGTAGTAAATCTCAAAAAGGTAAAACACAAACCAGCAAGAAATACACGCTACCTGTAACATGAAAGCTGTTTGTGTCGCACTTTTCACAGTTTTTCTACCATTTGTAGAGCAGTTGTGTTTGTAGTCACGCTTTTCTTGCAAATTATGGGCATTTTTGGAAATCTGCTAGCAATGAAAGCAATCGACAGGTTTTACCTGCCAGAACCACTCTGGGAATACTCATTTTTACTTAGCAACCAGGGGTTGCCAACTGACCAGTCTCAAGCCCTTTATAACTGAGGCCTCAGATGTGTGTTTTGGAGGTCAATTATGATTTATAATAACAAATTACAGATCCTAATTTGTTTTGAAAGTAAGACGGTTGAACAGAAAACTTTGAGCTGGAGTGGCCCAGGGCAGACTTTCCCCAGTTTTAAAACATGAATTTTAAGGCATTTTGTAACTGTAACTGTATAATGTCTTGTATTTTTATTGATATTACACTGGTCAGTTGCAGAAAAAGTAAAGTCGAAGGTAATCAAACCACACATATGCACAAAACTGTCTAATAATCACACATCTAGTCACTTTCCTCAGCAGCTCTCCTCATTTGTAGCTTTGTTTGTGTGCAGCTGTTGTATTGCATTAAAAAGCTATGTCAGCACCTACCCCACGTAATTCTTTTTAAAAAACTAGTGCAACCCCATATTGCCTCCATTTGCTTAAATTACCACAACCTCACACTAATCTTGCACCATCTAACCACCCCTAACTGCCTAAAAGAAAAAACACTGCGGGGGATCAGACGCAGGTGCACACATTAACACAAACACCAACAGACGTTCAAGTATTTAAGTAGCTGGCCTATTAAACGTGTAGTAACGCAGACACGCAAATATGGAGCCTACCACCGGAGAATTGTGACGGTTGCGAAACGCAGGCCAAAACAACAAGCCTGGCAGTGAAGGAGAGGCATCTTTTGGCTCTGTCACCCTCTACACACACAAACACAAATAACAACACAGCCTAAAAAAGAGTTCACACACACACAAACCCAGTGCCCTCTTTTCACATGAGCGTTATATAACCCGGCAGGCAGAGGAGCACTTGGTTTCATCACGTCTTTATCTCGACTTCCACTGTGAGATTTCTCTCCGTTCATTCTTTTCCCCCTTCAGTCTCTTGTAGTAAAAGAAATACGATTTTTCCCTCTCTCTCTGCCAGCTGTTATTTAAAAGCATTAAACAGCTTTGATGCTGTAAACGTGTGTGTTTAATGTGCTTTATGCGGCGGCAAAACGCCCTCGTAGACCTGCAGGAAGTGGATGATGTCAGCTCCACCTCTACGGTTCTTCCCTACACCACTCCTCCCTCAATGACACTGCTGATGATGACAGGAGGAGGAGGAGGAGGAGGATGAGAACAACGACGATGAAGAGGAGTCTCTCCCCCTCCCTTTACTTCCTGTCCTCCTCCTCCTCACCCACTGCTTCCTGCTGTCCTACCCCCGGGCATCCTGACTCAGCTCTCACCACCTCTCTTCCTCTATATCCTGCCTCACAGTCTGCTCTCCCTTGAACCAGAAGCATCGTTTCGTTTCAGTTTCATCCCAGTTGAAGTTAAATTAAACATGTTTAATTTAACATGTCTGTGCTGGGCCACTCATATGTGGATTGCACGTGTTTGCTTGTGTTTAAAAGAAAGAAGCGGAGGAGTACGATGGTGGTGAAAAGATGCCAAATCCCAGCGTCTGTGTCCACAGACAGCATTTTCTTTTTGTGCCCATGACCTTAAATTCAAACCGCTTATTGTTGCTAGGTTACAAAAGCCTTCTTCGTCAGAGTATTTTCAATTATTTACAGCGGTGATACTCCAAAAGGACAGTAAACGCATATCAAAGGCCAACCGCCTCTTTTTTTTTTTTTCATTTTGATTGGTTGGTGAGAGAAAAGTGAAAGTGATGAATGCAGGTGGAAGAAAATACATTAAAGGCCTGTGGACACGAGCCTTTGATAGGCCTACCCTAAACCCAGTATCAGATAGTCACCTGCTGCATAAAGGATGGAGCTGAGTAGTAAAAGCAGCATTTTTCCAAGCCTATCCGACTGAAATGTCTGTTATTCACCTCACTTTATAAGCATTTCTTTTTTCTAATGTGGACATATCTGAGCCGCCATTCCTGTTAAAATTAAATTTGTGGCTTATTCCACTCCATCAGCGTCTGCAGGGCTGTGCTTTTATGGTGCACTCTCTCTGTGGGGTTGCAGCCGAACATGTGCCACTCATCTACCAGGTCTTAAACTAGATCCCTGTCCAAATAAACCATCTGGCAAAACTGGTCCCAGGTGCTCCATGTGGAATTGTTTCACTTACAATGGGCCAAAAAGTGGAGAGGGTGCTGCCAAGCTCTATAAGTCAAGCGTGGTGACATCATCATAGCGTTAGATTTATTATTGCTATTTGGAGGTGGCTCTCTTGGACTCAAACCAACACTAAGAGGGGGGGAATTCACACAAAAGGCTGTCAGTCACGCCGAAACTGGGCCTGGGCCACAGTACGCTTTCAGCCTTACTCCACATACAGCACCCAGCCTGTTCCTCTGGGGCTTGTATAACAGTCAAACAACTTGGCGTGAAAAAAGACGCATAAACTGGAAGGACGTAAAGAAAGAATGTTATAATAAAATAATCAGAAATACCTACGACCTGATTAACAGGCTGTCGTGCACTCACGCTCGATCTGATATCATCCTGTTAGTGTTGTTCCTGGATCAACAAAACTAATGTTGGTTCAACACTGCAAGTGACCAATCACAGTGCAGTGCCGTCACACTTTTGCGACGTGGAAACGCTGTGACACCGCGCAGCAAACCGTAAACCTAACCCCATAACCGTAACCCTCACCACAATCGCATCCTAACCCCCGACCCTAAACACTCCCTGTTTGGGTTTTTTCCTGAGTGGACATCAGCAGGTTTTTATCCCCAAAAAAAAACCTATGACATCATAACAATGTGATTGGTCAGGTCTAACGTTAATCCTGGACAAGCCTTATTATGTTGATACAGGAACAACGCCAACACAAGCGTATCAGACAAACCTGCACTCACTATGGATGGAATTTCATAAGATAGTACAACTGCATCTGATACACGGTCATCCTCAGGAAGGTGACCAAACGTACCAAAAACAATACAGCAAATAAAAAGACGACTGCGAGGCTTTCACCTTTTTCACAGCGGCAGGGTGCCGGTGCCAAAACTCTAACTCCAGTACTGCACCACATAACTGCTGGGCCCAAAATTCAAACCACCGACGTTATTATCTACACAAGGGGCAAGAGTCCCAGAGTCTGGCAGCCGTGATTATCTTGGAACTGAAAAAACTTCTGCTGGAGATGCTAAACCTGTTAAAATAAAGCAGTAAAACAGAGCTGGCTCTACATCAGCACCACAATATTCATCACTTTTGCACATGTCACACATTTCCAACTAAACCACAATCTGTGTAATTCACACAGGTTGATCCATTCATGGTTTGATTCTTATACAGCAGTAATCTCTGCATTTCCTTGGTTAGTACTCTCTGCAGTTTGACAAACCTTCTTGACACCACTCTGGGTTTGATGCTGCGATGCTGTTTCTTATTTGAACTACAAACCTTCCTGTCTCGCTTCCTTCTCCGAGGCTCTTGCAGCTATACTTTGCTCAGCATGTACGTGCACGTGCACGTGCGAGAATAACGGCCTCAAGCAAGGCTGCGTGTAATGTGTAGTGAATTCATGTTTCTAATGGATCGGATTCATTGCCAGCTATAAATGCATGCAATAAAGCAGAGCTGGCCGAATCACAAAAAACACTGCAGGTGTGTGAGGCTTGGCGAGCGTGTGTGCATTTGTCCCTAGATGAGTGGGGGTGTTTGAGAGGTATGCTAGAGAGTGTTTCAAGTGTGAAAATGAAACAGAACTGGTGCAGGGTTAGGTGCGTGTACACCTAAATAATGGTGTTACATCTGTAAAACAGAGAAGCTTACGTGTGCATGGCTCTAGCCTGGGCCCCAACCATGACAGTGGTGAGAACGGCAAACAGAGAAAGATTTATATCAGTAAAATAGCAGAACTACATTTTTTTCTCTGCCTGGTACACGCCTCGTAAATGCAGGCGAACAGCAGGGCAGAACAGAGAAGAAAACCTTTAAATGTATGGAAGTTAAAGCGTATTCAAGGCCACTTAGCCTCTGGTTCGGCCTATGTAAGCAATACACATGCAAAACAATAGCCGACTACAACGTAAAATCTCTAGTGGAAGACAGACAAACAGAACACAGAGAGGTTTCCATCATGGCTAAACGGTTTACTCATGCACATCCCATTTGTCACTGCGGAGCTGGCAGGTAGAGCTAGCGCTGGTAGTTCAGGCTCTGGGTAAAAGGTGAAAAGTCTTACCTGAGCAGGTGGACACTTGCAGAGGCCAGGTGCAGACTGCCTCCCTGCAGGAGAAAACATGCCGATAAAATCAATGGATCTGATGAGAATCTGTCCGATTACTCAAAAAATTTGATACTAGTATAGATCAGAGCAGTATTTCTGTTAAGAGCCTTCTCAGATACCAATCAATGTTAGTGCTGTTGATAGTTTGATAGAACATAGTGCAGAATAATTTTAAAGCGGGTTATAAGTCAGATACTATGAACAAATACTGGGTGAATATTAGAGTCTTTTTAGTCTATAAAAGTGACTATTAAAATATTTTTTGGAAGTTTGGAATAATCAAAAACTGCATGTGGCAGCAGTGTTTTAGCAACTGCTCTTAATTGCAATAACCATGCATAAAACTATTAGGTGTCTATGAGCATCCTTCATCACTAAGGCGTGTTTACCATTTCCATGCTGTGGGGCTGATGCACTTGCTCATTCTTGCCTGCAGTGTAGCCAGCCAAACTCATGGCCTCAGTCGGGCGCCGGCGGCTCTTTAAACAGGTCGCGACAAGGCTTAGCCATGCTCCTCACTTTGTCCCTGTGAACAGGAGAGGTATACATAGATCAGTTAGTGACAGACATCTACACAGCAGCATTTTAACACAGTGATTCAGAGAGGCCTATCTGCCCTTCCAACACTAAAGTCAGGGAAATTAGCAGATGTTATTAAAGCCCATAAATAGTAAGACCTGGACTGAAAGTGTGGCACCATCTAGAGGTAAAAACACGCTCTTACATTTCACCAATTTGTCCAAAAAATAGCTTGGAACAGCAAAGTCCATACAGAAAGTGACAGATGATGAAACTGATTGCAACTTGTGGTTACTAAATTGGTAAATGGTTGCCCAGATTTGGAGGAAGACTCACTCACATCCACTTTGGATTGCAAAACTAATGCAGAGGTGACCTTTCTACAAACAGTCACAGTATGACTTGGACTGACTGCAGTCACGCTCAGAAAGGCTGTCGAATGTTTCATAAATAAGTGTGCGCTGATATATTAATGAGGACAGACTGCCAACATGAGGAGACTCAGCTGACTGCCAGTTGGTTGTATTCTGGTTATATTCCTACAGAACAGGAAGGTTGCAGAGCACAAATGTAATTGTTAAATATGAATTTTTGTCCATGTACATGTCGACAGATATGTGATTTTCAATGATTTATCACAGTCAATTATCAGAAACAGACTCCATGTAATTGCAAACTTGATCCAATTCAATGGCAGACCGATAGCAGACGTATGGCAACATTTATAGCAGGTTTTAAAGTGACGTAACTCCTTGAATAAAACCAAATCGACTGACCAAGTTTAACTCTGAGGATATCATTTGCTGTTCAAAAGGGGATAAATCACAATATATGATTTGCAATACTTGGGATATTGTAAAATGTTAAAAATTGCATCTGGGGGTGTGTGGTGATTCCCACCTCTAATACCCTCTCTAATGCATTGCATTGTGGGAGTTAATATTTAAACCTAATTTAAATTCAATTCAATAGAAACAAAACAACACTGTGTTTTATATTGTAAGGTTAAGACTCACAATAAAACAGAGAAAGCCCGAGCAATCAGACGATCCCCTATGAGCAGGCACTTGGCAACAGTGGGAAGGAAAAACTCCCTTTTAACAGGAAGAAACCTCCAGCAGAACCGAGCTCAGGGGCAGCCAGGCATCTGATTGGCAGTGAAGGGAGGAAGACGGGACAAAGACACGCTGAGGAAAAGAGCAAAAAATAATAATAACTAATGATTAAATGCAGAGTGGGGTGTAAGCACATAGTGAATGAAACAGAGTTATTATATTTTTGTATTTTCTTATTAGTTTTTATTTCATTTTCTTTTTAATTTTTGTGTTTAATTCAGTTTAGTTTCAGTTAGTTCTCAAAGTGGGTTTTCTTTTTTTCAGTTTAATTTATTGTTTGGACAATAGGTTTAGTCTTTTTTAATTATTATTGTATTTATGGTAAGCAGTGACTCACGGTCTCACACACATAAATGTTTAGACTCATATTGAGTTTTAAATTTTAGTTTACTTTTAGTTAACTATAATAACCTTGGAGTGAAAAGAACAGTGAAAACTCAGTGCATCATGGGATTTAAAGTCATAAAAGTGTAGCATCATACAAATAGAGACATTATTTCCCATGCGGGTTTCCAAGGAGAAAAAGGGGCTGATGTTAGTTGTGGGGGAAAAACATTTTTACAACATTTTTTAAGATATGGTTTTAGGAGAAAAAAATAATTTTTTCCTTAAAAAAAATAAATAATATGAACTATTTTTAGACTGTTTTTAGTCTTTACGTCAGAGTTGTTCGCATCCAAGCTAGCATCAACATCTACAGTTATTGAGGCTAAATAGTGTAACAAGACACCAATCTGGAAGTTAACTTAAACTGAACTGAGTCCCCATATTTAAACAAAATAACAACAACAACAATGATAAACATGTTCGGTTGGTTTAACACAGCCGAGCCTGCCTGCTTCAGGAGGCTTCATTACAGACCACAGCAGGTCCCTGGGTGACCTTTGTTCGCCTCGCTGTATGCAAACAGTCATAGCTGAGGTCCTGTCACGCAAATATATTCATTTCCATACGGACATAAAAGGTGAAGCTCTGTCCTGGGTTGCCCTCCAGTGGCGGAGTACCCAAAGTGCTAGAGGAACAACAGGGAGAGGGGTGGAGACAAAAAAAAATCCAAGGGGAAGAAAATTCAAACGCTCTTCCTGGTAAAGAACCCGCCACAACTTCACCACATGACATCTCAGAAAGAAAATGCGACACTCCTTCTGCCTACACAAGCGAGCCCCCCCCCTCCCCCATTTCATTCAGCTGGCTCTTATCAGCCACCCCCCTCCCGTACTAATGACCAAAACACATCCCAGTGACGCGCTGCATTTCACACCCACGGACACGCTCCGTGGTCTTTTTCCTTACATTTGCAAATGTGTTAACGGAAATCGGCACACGGCGATTGCGACATCACCAACTCCAGACGTACCTTCCTGTAAACTCTGCCTTCCTTACCGTAGAAAACATGACATCACCAACTTTAGTTTGTATATGAAATTGGGTCTTTCTTTCTTTTTTTTAACGCAGCTGTCTGCAACATAAAAATGGGAAAAAACGCAACAAATCAGCAACAACATCGAAACTTCTCCTTTACCACTGCAAACTTGGAGCGGTGCAGCCTATTGCTCTATAAGCAATTACATAATACCATCAAATTGTGTCCTTATGGTTAAAAAAAGAAGGACACGTGAGGCTACTACAGCCTACAGACCTCACAGAAATTCCGCCTTTCTGCTGTGCAACATTTTCAGTTTGCTGGACTCGTTTTCTAGAAGCAGCTCGCATTTTTTTTACAAGGTTAACGAAAGAGGACATTGTAGTTCAGGTTGTTTTCAATGGAGTCTCACCCCCCTACAGTTAGGTATAAGGCCAGCGTGCCTGACAGAGGCACGGAGAGCTTACCTTCTGTGTGTGATCCAAAACGTGCTGGGGAGGTGCCGCGCTGACTCTGGCTGTGAAAACAGTGGAAAATCTGCAAAGTAGCCCATCTCCTTCCACGGCCACGGGATGACGCAGACCTCTAAAAGCCCTCTCATCTCCCCCACTGACGAAAAATAAAATACTAAGCCTTTCCATTCAACGTCCGTAATAACGCGTTTAGGCGCAAATTATGACACGGGGAAGCACTGCGCACGCAGAGATCGCAGACCCCCCTCCCCGCCCCCCTCCGGCACAGAAAATGTGGATGCGTTCGCCCATGGGCAAGGCATGACGAACACACTCATCAGTGATGTTGCATCTTCACAGTCATATCGCGTTTCTTTTTCCTTCATCTGAACACCATCGGGTTAAGAAAAAAATCGCAAGCTGGTGAAGCCTTAAAAAAAAGCCTCAAAGACAGCGGGGGGGTTGCAATGGGGAACGGACTCCCCCCCCCGCCAACAATCATCCAGAAAGCGCTGCTGATATCCGTCTCATGGACAGCAACGGTGCGAGTGATCCGAGCTGGGAGTGCGTAAAGAAATTGCGCAGTTTTTATTCCATTGAAACGGAGACTCTTTCCCTTCTGTCCCCGCTGAAAGGCTCTTTCCCTTCCTCCTCCCTCCCTCCGCTCCCTTTCTCTCTCCTTCTCTCTCTTCCCTCATGCAGGTTTATTTTCAGTGGAAGAGTCTTGGACATTAACTGCCCCGCCTCCATAGTCACTGGCAAACACACTGTACAACTTGCCCAAATTCCATTATTAACTACTATTCGATCGCGAACAACCGAGCCGCAAGTTCCCGCCCCCCTCCTCTCCTCTCCTCTCCTCTCGTAAGCATTTGGTTCAAGAGTCCAGCTCTCAGCTGGGGGAAGAGTTGCTGGAACCGAATGGGGCCCAAAGAGCCACTCGTAGTTGTAATCTTGTCAGGTGCCTTACACTTCCCAAGAAACGGAAAAGTTGCGCGCAAGCATGCCGGGAAATCAAATGAGCTCAAGGCGAAGTCAAATAAAGCCAACTGAGATCGGGTTGGCTCTCAGGAGTTCTTGAGCTGTTGTCAGGGCTTCTCCAAACGCAGACAAGCAACAGTCTGTGTTCAAGAGCGAGACGTGTGATTAAACACTTCCCTTCCTTGTCGTCTAAAGAGTTCACAAAAAGGTGGATCCTGGATCCTGTTTTCACCCGCGCTGAATAAATGCTGCCAACATTTCTTCAAAGTGTTTTCAATTTAAGGGGCTGGGCAGATGGAAAAAGGTGTCTTCTTAATCAATACTCCCTTCCAAGAACATTGCCTCTAAAATCCACTGTGGTGATGCAGTGTCACCAGGTCTCGCGAGGAAGATGAGCAATATAATCTGAATCCCTGTCTGCACACATCGCGTCAGTGAGGAGGGTTAATTAGTACCACTTGTACAGTGTTTCTAAAACGACTCCACAGCACATCAACATTCAAGTTTACTTCAGCTTAAGCTCTCATCCAAAAAACAAAAACAAAAACCCACCTCCCAAGCCTGATATTTGTTACAATCAGGATGGAGAATCAGCCAATTTGAATTTGAATTCAATGTGCTCCATCTCCCACCCAACTAGAGACCACCAATGCACACACACACACACACACACACACACACACACACACACACACACACACACACACACACACACACACACACATTCCCTCTTTCCTTTCACACAAA